TTTCTGCTAATACACTCTCTTACCGCCACCATGGCACCAGTCGAAACCGAATATTACGACCTTGTACGTTGATCGAGCTCTCCTATGGACGCCACAGTCCCCCTGCTCACTGGTTGCGATATCGATAGCTTGGTGTACCCGTAGATGTACAAGATACAGAGTTGAAGAAAGCTTACAGGAAGCAGGCTATGCTCGTACGTCGTTGGCCTCCAGACGCTTGACGCCTAGCGCTAAATGTTATGCGGCAACCTGTAGTTCCATCCCGACAAGAATCATGCCCCTGATGCCGAGGAGAAATTCAAAGATATAAGGTGCGCTCAGTCTACATGCGAAACTTTGTATGTGCGCTCAGGGGGATCTACAGTAAAGCCTACCAGATCCTATCCGACCCTGTGAGTTGATTGGAACGAGTGGACCGCTGTATACGACCATGTGCTGACTACAGATACTTTACTCAGAATCTGCGTGCTGTATATGACAAGAATGGAGCAAAGATGGCGCGTATACTACCAGTTTGTGTCTTGTCGCGATATTCACCTTACCAATACACATAGGTGGAGAAAGAGGGTGGTGTCGGCATGGATGACGCGGCCGGATTCTTCGCAAACGTCTTCGGAGGTGAACGATTCATCGATTATGTGAGCAGAGTTACGAATGCACGACAATTGCAAACTAACAAGGGTAAAGATTGGAGAAATCTCCCTCATGAAAGAGATGACATCCGTCGCGACGACCATGATGTCTGACGAAGACAAGGCGGAGCTTCAGAAAGAGATGAACGGTGGAGAGTCCACCCCCAGTTCACCGCCAGTCGCGGGAGGACCTGCTACCCCATTCGGTGCCGCGGCACCCGCGAGCGCGCCCGAAACACCTGCGGCGTCTACGCCGCATACCGCCTCACCCCCACGAACGGAGACACCGAGACCTCAAACCGCTACTGGTCACGGACCGTCCCTTCACATGGTTTCTCCTGGCTCGCCACCCCCCGAATCCTCAAAATCCCTTTCTGGCAAGGACAAGGGCGACCATTCGCCGAAAAGCCGGAAATCAAAGGTAACCCCGGAACAGAGGCAAAAGCTCGATGAACTAGAGAAAGAGCGACGGCGCGCAATGGAGGAGCGGATAGCCATGCTCACTACCAAACTCATAGAGAGACTGCGACCATTTGTCGAGGCAGAGCATCCTGGAGAGAAAGACGACCCCGAAACCGCAGCATTCGAGGCTAAAATGAAACGCGAGGCCGACGATCTGAAGTTGGAAAGCTTTGGCGTCGAGCTCCTACATACCATCGGTACGGTATACATGACGAAAGCGTCATCGTTCATGAAGTCGAAGAAATTCTTGGGCATGTGCGCAGTATCTTACTACTGGGTTTTGCAGTATCGCTGACGGCGCCATGTTTGTTAGTCCTGGCTTCTGGTCGAGACTGAAAGAAAAGGGCGCTTTAGCTAAGGATGCATGGGGTGTGATTGGGAGCGCGTTAGTGGTTTGCAATATAGTCACGAGCGTTGCTGATTGCTCTCTCGTTCGACTAGGCTTGGAGTACAACAAATGATGCAGGAGATGGAGAAATTGCAAGCGAAGGGTGAGCTTGGCGAAGAGGAGCTCCGAGCGCTCGAGTTAGATGTTACTGGAAGGGTACGGCTTGTTCATTTACGCTGCTTACCCTCGCTGATTACGCGTTGGATTAGATCATGTTGGCGTCGTGGCGAGGAACACGCTTTGAAGTGGTGCAGGTTCTCCGCGAAGCTGTTGACAATGTCCTCAAAGATCCGACAGTCTCTGACCAAGTCCTGTACAATCGATCCAAGGTCAATTTCCGCGACATCATCGTTAGAGCGACAGAGATATTTAATGCATTCACTATAGGGTCTGCTACTTATGGGTGCAATCTTCAAGTCCACGGTCCCCGACGAGTCAGACCAAGAGCGACGAGAACTTGAACGGTATGCCTCCATTCTAATACGTCTTAGACCACGAGGACTACTAATTTGGTCAACAGGATGGTGGCCGAAGCTGCGTCGGGCAAGTCAAAACACCATCAACTGCAAGCTCAGGCGCGTGCTGCCGCCAAGGCCAAGCGGGACGAGGAACTAAAGGCCAGCAAGTCCGGTCACCTCAAAGATGCGGACAAGGAGAAGGCGCCTGCGGTGGAAGCTTGAGGAGGAACTCTTGCGTCCGCGGTCCCACACTATTAGAACTATTTGCTTTCAGGTGTTTAGTATGCTTCACGTTGGCTCAGAATAATTGCTCTCTGTTCATGGACAATTTGGATTGACGGCGCGCGTATACAGCTGCGCATATTTAATTTACCTATGCAAGTGCAATATATACCCCACATTCTCCGCCGCACAAAAAAAATCTGGCGTCAAAATACAAGAGGACGGAGTGTGGCATGGACATGATTCATCGCATGTTCTCAAAGATGAGGAGAAGAAGTGTTAATCCACCAATTATTGGCAGTGTCCGTGTATGCGCCGAGCGAATCGATCCGAGTCCTAACAGTCTGTGCGCGAGGAACTTTCCTCTGCGAAGGCACTCTTGACCTACAAATAAGTCGTCAGCTTCATTCAGATGAGCTCTTACAGGTAGCTAAATACCCTCGCGTAAAAGTCGTCGTCGTTAAGGACCCGGAAACCTGTGTAGGCTAGGGCTTTCATGGTCGTAATGCACGCCTCGTGAGCTTCCGGTGTTCCTGCGGCGGCTGCGAAAGCAGGAGTATGGTTTCCACCATTGGGTTCAGTTGGAATCGCTGGAAAAAGGGCACGTCAAATATCACGAAATGTGTGGGTAGAGTCAGGCGCACTAAATTGTGGGTGAATCGCCGGTAGTGCTAGAAACGGGACGGTGTAAATTCTGAACCAGAGTCGTGTGTTTGAACATACTCGCCGTAAGTAACGTTGCCCTGTGTTTCTCGGTGTTAGCCCGGTATCGTTGATGTGCGTAGTCAATGCTCACAAAGTCTGTTGATGCTTTTGCAATAGAGGGAAGAATTCCATAGCCAAACTGCTGCTTGACCACGCTGAGGTAGTCGCCGCCTGCTCGCAGTCAGCTCGGTGCCACCGTAACGAAGGACAAATGCCTACTCAGCACACTATTTTGTTGCAGGTCGTACAGAGGCTGCCCTAATTTCATCTCCAACCTGCATCCGGTGGATAATGCCGCCCCTCTAGTTTCCATGCTAGTGAGATACGGCTGTGTATAGAGCAATTGACTCACTGGAAGCAGTCTTGGACGCGTTTCGTCAAAACCTTTACCTCTGCGAGTGTCGGGGCTCGCGCGAACCATGTCATTTTCGCGTAGTCTGGAATGACTGCAAAGACAGGTCGCGTCATTAGTCTGAGACGACTGCACACCACGCACTATTCGCGGCCCAGTCTCTCCCTTGCACTGTCCCGTGGACTCGGTGTGTAGGCTTCAGCTGCTGCCTCAGGACAGACACAGCGGAGTACGCCATAAAGGCTGCGTCAAGGGCGTTAATGCCCTCCCACGGCGCGGCTGCTGCATGCGCCCTAAAAGAATAGTCAACAAATGAATGCGTAGTGACTGTCCGTAACGCACGTATGTCCGAAAAACTCGATCTCGATGGGCTGAATCGCAAGTGTCGAGCCCATGCCGACGTGGTGGACGGGCCCGTCGCTGGGATGGCACCTGATATAATGAATATCTGGGCAAGGAGTGATCAAGGCGTGAAACAAACATGACGCAGGCGTCCATGCCGCGATATCCTCCGCGAGATAAAAGTATGCTCTTCCCTGCGCGGATTAGCCAAGGATCTAGCTCGTATAAAATACTGTGCACCTGCGCCGGCCTCCTCCGCTGAAAGGGAATCAGTCGGCAAGAATGGACAATAGTAGATGGCAGTACCTGGTGTTCCCAGGAGCACGACGGATCCAGCGACGCCGTGAGCCTCGAGGGCAGCTTTGACGGCTAGAGCTATACCAGCCCCACTCGCAGCGATAAGGTTGTGTCCACAGGCATGCCCAATGCCGGGCAATGCGTCCATTTCAGAGTTAACACCAATAGTACGGCCGCCCTTGCCATTCGAAAATTCCGCGCGCCATGCCGTGTCCAGCCCCAGGTAATGTCTGGTGACCGTAAAGCCGTGCTCCTCCATGAATGCGGTCAGGGTATCGTGGGCGAATCTGCGTGACGCTTAGCCGTTGCAGCAGGGAGGTTCAATGAATGCTAGAACCTTTCTTGGAAGGCGAGTTCCGGATGGTCTGGCGAACAAGGTCATCATTTCGGCATGGCTACATTAATTGAGTACTCGCCGTGTATTTTCAAGCTGAGCGATCGAAGAGCCGGGTCCAGTTTATCGAGGAAAGACGCGATTGTCTTCATCAATTCGGGTTGGAAACCGTCACCCGGAACGTACGGGGGCAGAGACTCTACTGAGCAGTCCAGCGTCTGGTCGTGGTCACCATTTAATTGGCAGGTCACTGTGAAGTCGCATGCGCACCTCGACGGGCTCGGGTGCTTGACGACGCATCGAACGGGACGATTTCCACCTCGGAAGTATAGCGGAAAGGCATCCTCCGTGGACTGCAGACATTGCAAACGCTGGAAAGACCGATTTTAATGTGCGATTTTAACCGTGCAGGCCTTTGGGGTGACCGGGGAGAATACTAACAGAAACGTCCTGCGGTTGATATACATTCAAGAAATCTCCGACTGGGTCCTTGGCGACCTGGAGGGTACTTGCTCCGACCCTGCGGACGTCATCTCCGCCCTCAGCGGAAGGCTCGAGTACGGACCTAAATCGCATCCACAATCAGCCTTTGCATAAAGTACATCAACGCGGCCGTGCACCAATGCGTTTGGTAGACGTACGAAAAGCCGCGACGCTGCACCACGGTCATGGACGTGCATAGCGGCCTACCTATCCTCGAGCCCGTGACACGCAAATAAAAAAACAAAGGGCCTAATGGGATAAACGGAATGGTATATATACCACTCCTGCTGCTAGGACGCACGAATCGCACAAAAGCAAAAACAATGGGCCTGACTGGGAATTGAACCCAGGACCTCCTCGAGATGCGAATGTCGTATTCACCCTAACAAGGAATCATACTACTAGACCATCAGGCCGTTGGAATGCATGCTGCGGTGGTCCACTCCAGGACACGGACAAGCACTAGTAGTTGAGAGTAGAATGGAGAGGCTGCAACGAGACTGGAACACAGTGACCCAACTTTTTGGTCTCGTTTTTGCCGCGCCACTGTGGCGCGGCAAAAATGAAACCAGAAAACAAGTTTGGTCTTATTTGGTGTCGAGCCCCCGCCACTACGATTATCGACGACCAAGTATCCGCCCATTTCTCGACCGACGCGGCCCCCCTCTCGAGTGGACCACCGCAGCATGCATTCCAACGGCCTGATGGTCTAGTAGTATGATTCCTTGTTAGGGTGAATACGACATTCGCATCTCGAGGAGGTCCTGGGTTCAATTCCCAGTCAGGCCCATTGTTTTTGGTTTTGTGCTATCGTCTAGCAGGGACCGTTCGTTTTATCCCCAGTCCTTTTGCGTGTGTTATCGCGAGTCGGTGATTTCGACATTACAGACAACATGGGTACTACCCAGGGTAGCATATCACAATCGTACAACATGCGTAGCACTTTCTGCGTGTATACATTCATTGTCAACGCGCCGCCTACTCTCCCCGTCCCCGCCCTCTTCCCCGGAACATCCCTCGCCCCGCGTAGCCGATGCGAAAGTGACTGCCGCCACCGCGCCCAAACGCAGGCATCAGCGGAATCTGGCCTGGAAGAGGCATCGGATTGTACGCCCCGGGGATGGGCTCCGTGTCGAGCTCAGCGCGTGCGTCATCTTTCTCCTGCTCCGCCTCTTCGTCATCCTCGTCGTCCGGCTGTAAAACACTTGTCAGACGCAACTCACACCACGCCGCGTCACACACGCACCTCCAAATCAATAACGAGCGCGCCCGTGTGCCAACCCCCCGCCGCAGCGGCAAAGCAAAACGTATCGTGCCTCTTCTTCTCGCCCCAGTCGAACCGCACCTCGCAGGGCACCTCGACCCTGTCCGGCGTTGCGCGCCTTCTTCCCTGCCGTGCCTGCGCGAGCTGCACGTCGTCCGCGAACCCGCCCGGCGCGCCGATCGCGAGGTCCACGGGGTCACCGAGTCCGAGCGCGCCGCGCGAGTACGCGCCCCAGGTAAGCAGCGTGCCGGCGGCGGTGAGCGCTCCGAGATGGTAGTCGCCGAGCACGACGGCGATGACCGCGCGGTTCTGGAGCGCGGGGACGATTTGAGGCGCGGTGTCGGGGGTGGTAGCGGGCGTGCCGGTGAGCACGACGGAGACGGGCGCGGTGGAGTAGGCGGTGAAGGTGTTAAAGTTCGCGGAGATGTGCATGATGCGCAGGCCTGTGAGGTCGGCGTCGGCGAACGCGGGCTGGGCGCCTACGCGTGCGGCTTCGCTGAATTCAGGGAGCTGTGCGGGTGTCAGTAAGGCCCAGATGAGATGGCATTGGCACGCACATATTCCCAACGACCTTGACCGACCGTCGTCTCGCTCACAAGTTCTCCGTATTTCAGCACATGGCCCTGGTTCGTGAGGCCGATCAGACACTTGTCCATGGCCGCAATCTTGACCAACACGGTCTCGGAGCTGTCGCCGTGTAATTCAGGCAACGCAGGTAGGCCGGGCAGCGCGCGCGGATCGTGCTCCACTTCCCACTGGTAGCACTCGACAACACCCTCAGCGGTCGCCTGCGCCTTCTTGTCCCCTTCGTGGTCCATGTCCGTGTTCCGCGCGGTGACGTAGGGCGCGAGCACGCCGCCGAACGGGAACCACACGAGCACCTCGCCGGAATGCGTGAGCGCGGCAGAAAATGCCCAGCCGCATTCGACCTGGGCGGGGGTGGAGGAGGGGGTCGTGCAGTCGACGAGCGGGGAGCGGAGACGGAAGGGCCGGCCCCAGGAGAGGAATGTCCAGATGTGCCCCGCGGCGTCGAGCGTCGTAGAGTGCAGCCGGCCGCAGCTGGAACCGAAATGAGCCGACGAGTGCAATACAAAGACATGCACCGCACCTGATGCTGCGCGTCGGCGTCGAGAGCTGGAGACGCAGGGGCTTGGGAGCGGCCTTTCCTGGCTCAGAATAGCCGTCCGAGCTGAGCGTAAAGTCCGTGCCATTCAGAGTACCTGCGCCGGCCGTGAGCGATTAGAATAAAAGTTATCGCCCTGCACACGCACCCCACACCCAGACATTGCCTTCAGAATCGAGAGCGTGAAATGACCTGCGACCTATATTCAGCGCGTTATCTGACTGCGGATGACAGGATGTACGCACATTCCGCCTGCGACAAGGCTGACAATGCGAGCGCCTGGAATATGCAGCTCCTTGGGGTACGGGACGTCCTGTCCACGCTGTCCGTGGCCAAGACGCCCATGGCTGTTCTCTCTGCGCCGTACATCAGCGTCATCCGGGCGTACTAGAGCATACCACTTACCCCCATGTAAACACCTTTGGACGACTCAAGCCCTTGTATATCGCCTTCCAGCCGCTCGTCCGCGCCGTATCGTTTCCGTTAAAGTTAAAGTCTGCCTGCAGCTTGCGCTTCCAGAACGTCTCGTCGGCGGCAAGCTGAGTGAACGCGCGGTTGGTTGCTGCGAGACTGAGGAGGTCGCGGATGGGGATTTGCGGTAGGAGGTTGTCGATGAGGACTTCGACGGGAATGTCTGTGATAGTTGGCATAGTGGTCGTTGGTGTTCAAGTCAAGTTCGCTCGGGAGCTGCTCAGGCTGCGGCGCTCTCAATCCTGACACTGACCGTGGATCATGCGTCATTTCGGAGGCACCGTCCCGGATTGCCGCCCCGAGGATGTTTGACCTAGGTTAGCGCCTGGTCCGTATTTGCATAAATTCAAGCAGCATGCAAGCTCAGAACGATAGGCAAGCATGGGGGCAAACGAGATGAATGGTAATAAGACGTTGACACCAAGAACTTGGTATGTTGAATTATGTAGGTTGCTACGTTGGGCTGCCCAAAAAACGACTCGGAATCCAACTCTAGATCACGTCAGACCGAACAGCGTAGCATGTAGTGTGAACATGCTTTAGTACCGTCTGTACACTTCAGTTCCACTCGACTTGTGGGGCAAAAAGGCGAAAGTGCGCCGATACGTCGTCGCCCGAACCAAATGCACTGTGATTGCAGTGATCGAACTTCAGCTGGCTGACTCCAGCATTGCGCGCACGCCGGCTGTGCAGGCAATTGTCCAGCATGAACGTCAGGTCGTCGTTGAGGTCCACATCAGCCAATTGGAGATGGCACAATTTAGGTGCTGGGACGGGGGCGTCAGGAGCGTCGTCCACGGTGAGGGCCTCGACGAGCCCGTGGCAAGCGTTCCCACCAGCGTGGATGATGCTCAAGCCACCAGAAGTTGCAAGGTATCCGTCCCAGTCTTCCGCAGAGAGGTCGTTGCCTGCTACGCACAAATGAGATAGGTTGGTGAATTCGAATCGGCCGAGCAAGACGGAGAGGAGTGACGAATACGCCCACTCGGATCGAACTTGCAAAATCATCTCGAGGTACTTGTTGGTCCTGAACGATAATGGATAGCGACCGGGTCCCTCATATGAAATGACCGCAACGGTTGATCTACGGCTGACGTCGAGTTTGTTCGCAGCACAGACGCTAGTTCCGTTGAATGCCCCAAGCGCCGTGCTCACAGTGGCAATGGGATCGGCGGAACCGACGCTCCAGTCGATTCGGAACATAGTCGAAGATGGAAAAATGATGTGGCGGAGAAATACACTGGTAGAGATGTCGTCTTCGTGTTGCAGATTCATAAGCTGTGGCAAATTGATACGCAGACCGTCTGGTACGGTGTCAAGGCGGTCATCGCGAAGGGCTTTGTCAAGCCTCAGAGACTGCAACCCCGGCGCCTCCTTGACGATACGAAGGAGCTGGGAGATCGTGAGGCGCGTTTGCGGGTTATGACGGGAGGAGGGTTGCACGACACTGAGAAAGGTCAGACAGGTGGAGAATGGTCTGTCCCAGCGAAACGCGCAGCCGACCAAGTCGAGTGATTGCAGTCGTGGAGAGCTGTTACAAAAGGACTGGTGCAGCATAAATGGCACATCGTCCTCTTCCACGGGCGGATCGCGATGTACGCGTAGGAATTCCAGCCGTGGCGCGGGTCCCCCAATCTTGTCCGTAGCACCGGCTAGGAAAGCTCTGTTGCCCCAAAGAGTGATTCGGTAGGCCCGCGACGCATGTTGTATTGCAAGATCCGTCGACTCCGTAGGCTGGTCCAACCAACCGTTCAAGTCGAGGCATATAGGCGAGTTTTTTGAGCGCTTCAAGACCAACTCTGTCCATTCGCGGCGGAGGTGATATGGATTGAGTAGCTGGCTCCACAAAAGGGGGCACTTAAGCGAGATGTAGCGCCAGTGGCTGCACACGCTCGTCAGTCCCTTCCAGTTTGCCCGCGCGGCGTACACGAATATCTCGGAAAGGAGTTCGGTAGGAAGTCTGTGGATCGGCGCGAGGGCATTCCGTTTCGTCCTGAGCGCCCGTATGGGGCGTATGGGGCGTAGCAGGGCCTCTATCTCCTCGTCGATCTTTTCACGCGCTGCTTCGACCACGTCCATGACCTGCACTTGAGATAGTATGGCACACTTGCCAATCCCCGAGGCGCGGCAATGACCTATGCGTTGACAACAAGACGTATGGGCGTTCTAGACAGCAATGAGTAATTGATTTGTCGGCGTACCAGGGAGAAATATTGAGTACTGAGTGGCTGCAGTGCAAACTTGAGTCTTTGTGTTATGTTTGACGGACTCAGACGCGACGACGACTCGGACGAAAACCACGTTTCCCCATTTGGAATTTTGACCTGATACTTGCCGTCCACTAGACAGACAGTTCGACCTCCTCAATTCTGAACATGAGGCTCTCTACATTCTGAGAAGTCGGCTCACTGATAATATTGACGGCCGGTCTCGCTACTAGTACTATCGGAGCTTTCGCGCAAGTCACGACGAGAAAGTTCAGCGTTTCGCAGAACGCGGCTTGGTAGAACGAAGGGAACTGTTTGAGATGGCATTCCTCCGATACGCGTTAGTATCCT